CAATGCTGGCTGTATCCCTGAACACACAGAGATCTATGGGATTAAAGGCGTGTGCCACCACCGCCACACTCTTGCTATGGCTCTAATAGCTCTGACCCCCGGGTAACTTTATTTATTAACATATATTCAAAATCACATTTCAGTACAATTAGAATACCACCACAGTAATGAGATATTTCCTAAGTCCTTTGTATTATCAAATAATCATTGAAACAGTTTCAAGTAAGTGCTTCATTTCCTCATTGGGAAGTATAGCCTGATTAAAGGCACAGAATTGGGGTGGAGCACACTCACTGATTATTACTGTTGGTATTCTTGAACCACACAAGGAATCTACTCCATTGAGTAATTGCTCTAGAAGGTATTCTGTAACAGAGTATTCTTTTTTTATTAATTAAATTTCTTTGACAATTTCACAAATATACAGAATTTAAATGGACCATTTTTTAAAAGTTAAAAAAGAAATAACATTTTGTTTTTTTGGGACAAGGTTTCTCTGTGTAGCCAGGCTGGTACTTGCTTTGTAGATCAGATTGGTCTCAAACTCAGAGATCTGCCTGCCTCTTCCTCCCAACTGCAGAGATTAAAGGCGTGCACCACCGCTGCCCATTAGCTTTAAAAGCTTTTAATGTTTTATTTTTTATTTTATATGTATGGATCTTCTTCCTGCATGTATGTCTGTGCATCATACTCATGCAGTACTGGCAGAGGCCAGAAGAGGGTGTCAGATCCCTTGGGACTGGAGTTAAGAGTTGTGAGCCATGTGGGTGCTGGGAATTGAACCTGACGTTTATAGAATCTACACAGCCATCTATCTAGCCCTTGGACCACTTTTACCCCACTCTCCTCTCTCTCTCTCTACTGTACTTACACCGTATCCTACACTAGCTCTTGCCTACAAACCTCATATTCACATTTAACCATTTTGGTTTGTGAAGCACAATCATTTATGAAGCATGGGTTTGGAGCTGTCTAGTGGAGGCTGGTAAGCTCAGCAGTCGCTACATAATTGACATAATTCAAGACAGTGACTCCCCTCTCCCAGAACCTATCAGTAGCCAATAGTTTTAGTACTAAGGAATAGGACCCTTGAGCTCCTCCCCCATTCGTGAGTGACTGTAGACAGGGCCAATCTTGTGTGGGCCCAGCGCGGGTAGTTGCCGTTGATGTGAGTTGATGGTTTCAGTGGTTATGTTGAGCCCCTGAGCGGCAGGCATTTTTGTCCAGGTTTTGTAGAGAAGGTGAAGTTGCTTCTATACGGGACAGTGGTGCTACAGCTAATGTTTACAGAGCCTAAGTTTTGAGTCCGGGTATGACACCAAGTTTTTTGTTTTTTGTTTTGTCTTGTTTTCCACAATGGAACATTGCTTCCCAGCAGAGTGACAAGCATTTTCTTTTGCTTCTATTGCAGACAGGAAGGGGCTATCAGAAAAACGTCCTAAAACTGAAAACTCAGAAAATACATCAGCTAAGCTAGAGAATGCCAGCCCTCAGAAGACTTCAACCTCGAAAAACTGTGGCAAGAATTTAAGCAACTACTGGCTGATGAAGTCTGAGCCAGAAAGCCGGCTAGAGAAAGGTGTAGATGTGAAGGTGAGACTATCCTGTGTCGTCATCGTGTTGGCGAGATGGGGCCGTGGGTCAGAGTGCTCGCCTGATGACCTGGGACCCAGTGAAGGGAGAGAACAAACTCCTGAGAGCTGTGCTCTGACCACACATACTTCCACACTTCATACACATAACCACGACTAAAAAAAATGGTGAATATGGTTTACCGTAGGATTGATTCAGAATCAGCTTCTCATCTTTGAAGACTAAGGAAAAGGTAAAAATAAGTAAAAATTTCAGCATTTATGATTATTAGCTTAAGGGTAGATAGCCCTTACCCAAAATTCTTGGGGCCAGAAGTGTTCTAGGTTTTGCATATCCCTATCTGCCCCCCCCAAGTCTAAATACTTTAATAAAATATAAGAGTTTTTTTGTTTGTTTGTTTTTTGTTTCTGGAGATGGAATAAAATATAAGAGTTTTTGAATGTTAGAACATTCCAGAGTATTTCTGATTTCAGGTGTTAGCATTAGGCATGCCCAACCTGTATCTGTTTTGTGGATTTCCTAGCTAAGCAAGGGTTGGCAGACTTTTTCTGAAAAGAGCCAGAGATGCTTCTGGGTTTTTATAGCCCATGTTGTAGCTCTGTCCTGTTCACAAAGAAAGTGGCCACAGACAACACATAAAAAATGTGTGGTTATGTTCAGGTAAAACTTTATTTATAAAATCAGACATACGGTTCAGCTTGCCAGTGTCCATCTGAAGTTTGATTTTACGGTTGTTAGGTGTTTTAAAGATGGTCTTACTATGGAGCCCAAGCTGGCCTCCTAACTTTTGAGGCTCTGGTTGCCCTTGAATTTAAGATCCTCCTTGCCCCAGTTTTGGTGGTGTTGGGATTATAGGTGAGCCACCATACCTGGCACTAGTTTTATTTTTCTCCTACTATTTGCCATGCCCCTGGATGTCTCCCTGACAAGTGTCCCCATATAATTAGGGAATGAATATAAGATGATTTTTAATACTAGCTTGAGGAAAATAGAAATATTGGAGAATTATGATACTTTAAAAGTGAAACACAGGGGACCAGCAGACTGTCTTATTATCCTGATTATCCTTTCAACTAATCATCTTAATTAGCAAAGACCACAATGTAAAACCCGAGGCTCAACTTATATTCATTCAACATCATTGGCACCCTGGAACTAATTCCTGGTAATCTACCTAGCTTCTTTCTATCCTGTAGCACTTTTCAGGATTAAAGAGAGAACTTTTTGTTCCCATAGATGCTTATCAGTTGGCCAGCGACTATGTACTGAATGACTTTATTTTCTCTTGCCTAGTTCAGCATTGAGGATCTCAAAGCACAGCCCAAGCAGACAGCATGTTGGGATGGTGTTCGCAACTATCAGGTATGGAGACAAGGGGCAGGACCCTGAACCTAGGCTAGGATATACACCTGCCTTCTCCACTGTGCTCTTCAGCAGCGAGGACTTTGAACCGACATTGCTTGTCTCTGAACTCTATCCTGAAAATGTCTTCAGAAATATCATAATCACTGTGACCGCATGCAGTCTACAAGTGGCTTGGCTTGGTTCTGGCTGATGTCCTGGAACAAGGCTAGGACTCTGAATAAAGGGACAGATTTTCTTATGAATTTGAGAAAAGCGCAAAACAGGGGGGAAAAAAAACATCTACTCAAAACAGACTGATTTCTTCCCAGCTGGTAGGAGGGCAACCCTTGTTTCTTCTCCTTTGACACAGGCTCGGAACTTCCTCAGGGCCATGAAGTTGGAGGAAGAAGCCTTCTTCTACCATAGCAACTGCAAACAGCCAGGCATCGTGGGACTCATGAAGGTTAGGTGCACATAATTTAGCTTGGATTCCTCCCTTCGGGACTTACTCATGTAAAGCCTGCAGTTTAAATAGGTCACAACGAAAATATGCCCCCTCCCCAACTCCCTGTCACAGAAAATGAGGAAAACTGCCCTGACCGCCACCTGAATGATAAGGGTTAGACTAGGAAGACCTTTATTTCAGGCCCTGCTAATCCTTCTCACTACCTGAGGTTCTATCAGGTACCTCCTCTTTGCTGAGAGTTTCAAGATAACACTATGTGTGCAGTTGGGAGAAAATAAAAGCATGTGTTTCTAACAGTAACTTTCAGCATTTAGTTTTAGAACATGCTTGTGAAACTTTGTAAAAATAGGAGTTCTTTCCTAACTATGTTTGCTTAGGCGATCTTTTATTTCCAGATATCTGCATACCAACTGTCTCTATAGCAAGGGAGATGGGTCAGAATATGAAGGAAGGGTAAGAAGTCAAAGTGTGATGCATATTAAAACTTGGACAGGGAGCTAAAATGATTGGAGATTTTGGATTTGTTTTCAGATCGTAAAAGAGGCTTATCCAGACCACACACAGTTTGAAAAAAATAATCCCCATTACGATCCATCCAGCAAAGAGGACAACCCTAAATGGTCGATGGTAATAACTATGCTTCCTGTTTCCTAAGGGGAGAATGGGCAAAGGAAGGAAGAGGATGGGGTACTGTTAGGTCAAGGAGCAAAGCCCAGCCCTCACTTAGATGGAGTTTTGCTGTACTGGGATCTAGCACACTGGCAGCCCTGACACCATGCACCTCCTGCAAATAGTGGAAATGCTGGGTGGACACAGAAGCAAATGCCTATATTCTTAGCCACTCAGTAGGAAATTGATTCAGCTAAGGAATTCAAGACTAGACAAAGCAACACAGTGAGACCCATCCCTTAAATTAGACAGTCTGGCTGAACATGTTTCTGTGCCCTACAATGCTGTCCAATAGGTGGATGTACAGTTTGTTCGAATGATGAAGCGTTTCATCTCCCTGGATGAACTTAAAACCTATCACCAAGCCCACAAAGCTACCGGGGGCCCCTTAAAAAACATGACCCTCTTCACTCGCCAGAGACTTTCAGTTCAGCCTTTGACTCAAGGTAAGATCTCAATGTGGAGACAGCATTAAACCTCTCTGGGTTAATGTTGTCCCCGTCCCCACCCGCCCGTTACCCTTGAGGAGGGCTCTGCCGTATACCCAGTACCCTAAGATATTCCAGAGTGGACAGTGGCCCACTCCAGGAACTTGTGGTGCGTCATTAACTCCAGGGCCCTCACTAACCTCCCTCTGCAGGAGACGACACAGCACCCCATTCTCCCTTTTCCCTTTGTAGAAGAGTTTGATTTTATTTTGACCCTCGAGGAAACAGAACCAAGTTAATGAAGGCTCTACTGATGAATGAACAAGCCATTGATCCAGAGTCAAGATATGTAAGACAAAAGGAGAAAGCTTGCTGTGTCCACCTGGGGTCATGTGCACAGGGGGTTTGTTCATTTTTTTTTTTTCCCAATAAAAAAATATTCAATGACAAGGTAGAAAGCTTTTCCTTCTAAACCTGCGTTGGGTGGGGTAGAATCCTCCACTGTAGATGTCTTACATCCACGCCTGGTTCCTTTTGCCAAATGGAAGATGCAGGCCACTCTGTCATCTTCCCCTACCACTGCAGTTCTGTGGTCAATAGCAGAATGTAGGACTGAGTCCTTTGGTCTGTGAATACTCAGTGAATCTAAGTCTTGAAGTTGAAAATAGGAGTATTTGGGGGGTAAGCTGCCAGACAAGGTTAAAACCTGAACTCACTGAGCCATGCTTGCCTGACGTGGGTGGTTAATACAGTGTTCATTACTGTTTACCATCCACTGAAAAAGAACTTTGGTTCCCGGTGTGTCAGATAGGAGACCGTGTTAAAAAGGAAAAGACCACAGAATCTGGTGGACCGTGGGCACAATGCCTCCAAAGCCACAGGGCTTCCTTTAATTAGAGACATCATTAAAACAAATGTTCTTTTAAAATACAGCCATTGAAAAGACAACACATTAAGAAACATGTAAACACTGCAGCTTCTGAATCACAAGTTGCACTGCTTGGTTTAGTACCTATGCACTCCAGGTTTGGGGACCTTACAGGACGGGGGTAGGAGCCTCCCCACACTTTCACAGGTAGCAGAGAAAAGAAAATGGGGGTAGTCACAGCGAACAAGACCTGGCTTGTGCACAGCTCCTGAGAGAAACAAAGCATACTCTACCTTCTAGTTCTCCCAGACGAAAGGCTTAAGATGTTAGCAAGTTGGACAATGGATTTGTGTTGTCAGCTGAGAGGCAGAAATTGACAGATGCTTTTAATTAGCTATTAAAAGGAGGCACAGCAGAGTCTAGTCTCATACCCTGATAAAGGCAAGAGCACAGAACCTCCCTCCCTCATCTGCTAGGGCCCAGCCTTGATACCCAAGGTCAGCTGGATGGGTGAACCTGTTCCCATGGGGACTGTATGTCATACCTAAACTTGGGGTCTGACATGGGGAAAAACTGACTTAGCTCTGCTACCCCTAGTCACCCCAAGTGTCTTTCATCTGAACTCTAATCCACCAGCCCTGCCCTGTCAAGCCCAAGATTGCACTGATTTCTGAGACGAGACCCCATTTTCGACACTAACTGGAATGACACAGGAACAAACCCTTTACTTGGCAGATGACCAAGAACTCAGAGCAGCGAATACTGTACTCGTTGAAGATGGGTTCCACTTGCACTTTCTGTAGAGGGCGGGCGGCCAAGGGAGATAGTTCCCGGTCATTCCCAGACAGGGCAGAGAAGACAGACAACCCCTTACCACTTGCAGGCCCGAGGAGCACAGCGGGAGAAGAACCCCTCTTCTCTAGTGTGACAACATCCACCAGAGTTTTCCTATTTTGTTTTTAAATTAAGAAACAGTGGTCCTAAACTCGAGTCAGTGAATTGGTGAAGATAATGGCATAATTTGGCAAGCAGAATTTTTCTGAAGTTACGGTAACAGAGTCTTCTGCAGAGGCCCTTCTTCCCTCACTGTGTAGAGAGTGGGATGAAAGGCTTTGGGGAGGGAGCAAGAACAAAACGTCTAAGTGCCTGAAACCAAGCCCAATTCCAGAAGTCAATGGAGGACAAGGAGTATCAACAGACCCCGTTCAGGGAGGCAAATGGACCTCAGCCTCTTCTAAGTTCTATACTAAAGGAATTGGACCCTCTGCTTAGGGCTTGTTGGGTAACTTAACGCAATTGCCTACAACAACCCGGCCTTTGGGTTGCCAAGTGGAGTCAGGTGGTGAAGGCAGACAGCTGCCTTGCCTATGTTTGCCCCAGGAGACCTAGCGCAGCCTCCTGGCCATCCGTGGGTGACACCAGTCTGAGGGCTTCTGTGTGCCCGTATTTCTCACAAGTGAGAGGCCAGTCAGCCCCAGAACCTTCCTTAGGCTCTGCTCCTGTATGGTTCCTGACAAGCTAGAGATGGAGAAAGACCAGAGGTGACTGGAAACTTCAGAGCACCACGTCCCAGACGCCCAGAGAGAGGTAGCTTCCCAATCTTGAGTCTTCTCCCAACTTGGATGAGACAGGCCCAACAACTTCTGCCACTACCTCAGGAACAGTCGAAGGGAGTGTAAGACATGACTACCCAGAGCCCTGCAGGTGAATGCCAGGGACACGCTCAACTCTGTATCAGGAAGCCCAGAGAACCTGGAGCCAAGGATGCGTGCTCTCAACTCTGCTTTCAGGCTTGAGATAGCCTTGACAGACAGCTCTCATTCCCAAGGGAGAGACTAGCTTCCAGAATGTTTCCTCTCCCTCTCCCTACCTAGGCTGCAGACTCCCAGAGAGACTGCTGCCCAACCCAAGCCCCTTAGGTTCTTCAGAGAAAAGAATTTAAGTAAAAAACATGATTTGTTTTCAAGGTTGCGAGAAACGGTCGGTGAAGCCTCACACGGTTCTCCCCTCCCCCAGTCGCTGGTGGTTGGTAGACAGGGGGGTGCCGCAGTGGAAGCCCAGCAACTTCTTGGCCCCTGGGGCCTACTGCCTGCTGTTGGTGTCAGACAGTTGGCCGGGGGTCCGCACCTCACCCAGGGAGGTTGTGCCCTCGAAGCGCTGCGAGGCAATGGCCGCCTGGTGAGACATGCTCTTCCGTACGATGTCGCCCTTCCGCCACAACACCACTTCCTGCAGAGTTGGAAGAAGGGGCAACATGGTGTCTGAGAGAGGTTCAAGGGATGCTTTTCTCAGGGGTTCCCACCTTGGTCCCAGGGGATCCCCAGGAACAACCTCCTTGGCTCCTAAGACTGGTGTTCTGGTGTGAGCCACAAAAGCAGGGCTTTAGGCCCGAGAAAGGAGACCCCAGTATCAACTGGGAATTCGCACTCCGGCCATAGGGCTCTAGGCAACTCCATGTTTCTTCCTCTTGTGCAGTAACAAGCGATGGAGGCTTGACTGTTTTCTTTCAGCATTTTGCTCTAAGTCTTAAGATGGCCCTCTGTGGGAACAGTGGTGGCCTTTCTGCTCTGTGCCCAAAGGGACCCAGGGTCCCGGAGGAGGCACCCACCTGCTGCTTGAAGTAACGCCGCTCCTCTTCATCAATCAGCACCAAGTTGAGGTAATAGCGCACAGAGAACTTCTTGTTTATGTCCCTCATGGTGGGCGTGAGCTCATATCCTGCCAGGAAGAGCCTGATGGGGATGGACTCACCTGAAAGGGGTGAGGTAAAAAAAAAATGAGGGTGAGGGACACAGGAGGCACTGTTGTACACCAGTGCCCATCCTGGCCTCGGCGGGCCAGACTCCACTGAGCAAGGAAAGGAACACTGAGCAAAGGTTCTGCCTTTTGAGATGTCACACACTGATCCCAGCAGTTTCCTGACCTAAGTGTGTGGTTTTCCAGGTCCGTTTCAGTCTTGCAGAAAGCCGTGAGGAACGGTGACTGAACTGCATGCGGGAACTATTAGGAACCACTTGCCATGTGCAATGTGCCTTTTTGCTGGTTTTTTTTTGTTTTGTTTTGTTTTGTTTTTTTCCCACATTTATCTGAAACATGGTCTCTATGTAGTTCTGGCTGGCTTTGAACTCACAGCAATCCTCCTGCCTCTGACTCCTCCCAAGTGCTGGAATCAGAGGTGTGAGCCAATAAGTCTGTTAAGTCACTGGGTTTTCTTTTTCTTTTAAAAAATTTCTTTTAAAGATTTATTATTTTTTTTAATGTGTATGTTTGCATCTGTATGTGAGTATATGTATATGTGCACGTAGGTATCGAGGTTGCCAGAAGAAAGTTGGAGTTACAAGACTGAGCTGCTGGATGTGAGTGCCACACTCAGGTCTCTGCAACAGCAGGACATGCTCATAACCACTGAGCACTCTCTCCCAAGTTTTCCCTCCCTTGAAACTAGTTAGTGTATGCTCAGAGTACATCTCCACTCTAATAGTAATCTGCAGTAGGGTGGCCTAGAAAACAGGCAACTCATTTTGGAGCTAGGTCTCTCTCTAGTAGCCAGATCTGACTTCTAAATACATCTGTAGCTCTCATATGGAAAATCAGAGAACAGTTTAGGTCCTATGGCCCTCTACTAGAAGAACAAAATGAGGGCAGTGATTTTACTGAGAAAGGCCAACCTTAAGCTAAATATAAATGAACCTTTAATTATCTGCTGTTCTGTGCTGTTTCTCTGTGTCCCGTTTCATTTGGCTCAACTGGTCAAAAAATGGAACATCAGAGTTAAGAGAGCTGGGTTCCCATACTCTCAAAGGTCTGATACAGTGACTGCCTAAGAATCTGTGGGGTCTCCAGTGGAATGCACTGCCCAGGGGGACATCTTCCTTCCACACAGAATACCCACTGGGAATACGACCACACACTTCAAAGTGAGATGAGCCCTTCGTCCTCAATTGCTACAGAGCCAGTAAAGAATGCAAAGGACTGCCTTTTCCCTGTAATCATCCACATCCAGATTCCCAAACAGCAAAGGGCTTTCAAGCCCACGCATCCTAGGGGCCCTGTGGAGGACCACGTCCATCTGGGGCTGTCTGAAGCCCTTGTGGTATGGGCCAGCAATCTAGTAGTGCACTTTCATGACAGACAAATGAATTCCTATAGTGAAACCTTTTACTGTAGCTAGAACTAAGCAATGAAAATGACTAGAGTGCATGGATCGATCGATCGATCGATCGATCGATCAATCAATCGATCTCTCTCTCTCTCTCCCTCCCTCCCCCCGCCCCAGCAGAAAACATGCCAGAATGTCAAGAAGAAAAAGGAATTAAATATTCAAACTGTATCTTAAAGCAGTTTTCAAACTTGTTTTTTTGGGGGACAGGATCTCATATAGCCTAAGTAGCCCTTAAACTTTATGTAGCCAAAGATGACTCTGAACTCCTGATCCTCCTGCCTCCACCGACCAAGGTGTGGGACAACACACATGAGCAAGCAGGCCAGTTGAAATGGTAGAAATCAAAATATAAACAAGGTCAAGCTTTTCCCTCCCCTTCCCACTTCAGTGCTGGGAACTCCCATGAGTTCCAGACCAGCCTGGGCTACATAGTGAGACCTTGTCTCAAAAAGAAAGAGAGATATTTTATTTCAACTTTTGAAGTATAATCATTTGAAGCCTTCCCGAATTCTGAACATGGCTCGGACGCGAAGAGTGGCAGTGGCCCTGGGCCAGAAGGCTCACCTCGAACTGGTGCCCCGTCCATGATCTCATACTTGGCTATTGTGTCGTTCTCGTGGTAGACATTGGGACCGGTGCCTGTCGTTTCCCGTTTGATGATGTCTATCTCCATGTGCTTGATTTTGATTCTCACCAGCAGGAAGTATATCTTCCCTACAATGACATCTTTCAAGTGGTATCTGAAGAAGAGAAAGTATAGGAATTAAGACGGTGGTGGACAGCTAGTCTGTCCGTGTTCCGGCATGGGGGCACACTGTCGGTGAGAGGAGTGACGGAAGTGTGCGCTCCGCCTCGCTCCTGGAACAGTGTCCTGATAGGTCCTTTATTGGACTCTGTGTGGCGTCCCCTCTTCCAAATCCCGTTCAAAGGATGATACATGTTATTTAACAACTAATATTTATTTGCTCCATCTCTATAGGATATACCTTCAGTATTTTTTTAATGTATGTGTTTTTCTGACGTATTAGGCCAGTCTCACAAACACAAGAATGAAGTCTGAACTTCAGTTTATTCTCCATACAGTGCCTTTAGGGAACTGGGCCTTAGCAGTTCCCGGTTTGCTCCAGGCTGGAGCTGAAGACCACAAAACAAGGGAACCTCCCTCTGCACAGCCACCTGCTCTCTGGGCTCCGCTTGCATGGCTTGTGCTTCAGGAGCTACTAGGAATTCAGCCACGCTGCAGAGCACTTCCTTTTTTTTTTTTTCCCCCCCCCCCCCCCATTTCTCTGTGTGGCCTTGGCTGTTCTAGAACTTACTCTGTAGATCAGGCTGGCCTCGAACTCACAAGGATCTACCTGCCTCTGCCTCCTGAGTGCTGGGATTAAAGGCATGCGCTACCACTGTCTGGCACATAATACTTTCTCCTTTTCCCTTTACATCTTTCTCTGTGGGCCAGCCAATGATGCTGGCAGCCTGTGTATACACCGCCCTGTATCAGGTACGCCAGAAAGACAGCACACTCTTCAGACCTGAAGCTCAGACTCATGGCATGTGGCCCCTGGCAGAGATGTCAGGATTGGGCCTCCTTACATGGCAGGTGGGAAAAAAGAAACTGGAGGAGACTAGGTCATTCAACTGGATGGGAGAAGGTTCAGACGGGCCTGTTGTTTACAGCCCTACTGGGAAAGCTGCAGGCATTGAGTGGTAACCTCCACACCTGCAGACACAGCCGGAGGCCACCTGCAGCACTTCTCAGGGATACTGACAGACCAGGCATGGATGCTAAGGTTTTCTATACTATACATGAAGCACTCATTTACTATAATGAAACCTTATACAGGAGAAACATGTTTCATGGTCCCATATGGCTCAGCCTGTTGTACAAGGAGAGGAGAAGACTAGGAGTTCCTATTCCTGCCTGCACATAACTTTCTCTAAAACACTTTTTATTCCAAGAGCTGCTGACCAGCAACTGCTTCAGGCTCTGTGGTAGCACGCCTGCTAGTGGCTGCCTTCATCAGCGGTCTGGGGGATTAGCGGGCAGGACCACGCCGAGTAAGGAGACTGAGGGGAGGAAGGAGAGGAGAAGCTCCTTCCTGGCACCTATCCAACAGGTGGGCCAGGCCACGCAGGGCTGGCTCTAGGTCACAATGGTCATTTTATGGAGGCATCACTAGGTTCCAAGCCAGGGAGTGAGGAACAAATAACTTTATTTCACAACTGTTCTTGGAGGTAAGTATGTTCCTGGTTTAAAAACCATTCCCATCAGACACGGTGACACATGCCTGTGATCCCAGCACTTCTGAAGTAGAAGCAGGATCACAAGTAGGCAGCCTGGTCTATACAGCTGAGCTGTCTCCCCTCTGTTCCCAAGCCCTTAGTGGGCAAATTGTGTCTCCCTAATTCCTAGGCTCTGGTTGGCAGTGGGCCTGGAGGAAGACCCCTGCAGTAAGGACGGTAATAAGGCTGAAAGTAGACGATCCTCTCACTTTTGGATTGGTCTCCGGATACTTTCAGAAAAAGATTATATTCAAGAGAAAGATACAAGACTGCCAGAAAATTCTGTGGTTTATAAGCAATTAAACATTTTGATGCTCTAATAGTAAACACAGTTTAAAACATAGCTTCCCAACCAGCCAGGTAAAGTTATTTCAAGACCTTCAGAAAAATGCATCGGGTACCCGGTGGTGGCGCACACCTTTAATCCCAGCACTCAGGAGGCAGAGGCAGAGGCAGGTGGATCTCTGTGAGTTTGAGGTCAGCCTGGTCTACAGAGTGAGTTCCAGGACAGAGAAACTCTGTATCAAAAGAAAAAAAAAGCATCATGTATTCTGTATTGTAACTCCTTTTGGTTCAGGGAGGAAGCAGCCCATTGCCGGTACACAGTTTCCTCACTTTGATTTCTAAGGCAGGGAGGAAACAAATGATAGTGGCATTGTGTTCTACGATTATTCTCACACATGGAAGGAAGTAGCTTTACCTAGTATCCAAAACAAACAACCTAGAAGCTAGTTAAGCTGGACTTTGAAAGGCACCTTAATGTTTAAATGTGATGGTAAATAATTTAATATACCGAACAATCAAGTTTCCATGTCCTGGCCTGTTTCTCTATAACTAGCCTCAGACATATTGACTGTATTATTTTTGTCATCTCCCCTTGCCGCATGTCACCATGAAGCTGTGGAGTCATGAGGCTTTGTCGGTGTGCACTCAACTCGAGAGCTCTCTTAACCTGCAGAAGTCATTACCACAGGAGCTTGGGGCTCAGGATACTCACTTGGATTTGTTATACTCAAATTCGATGTGCAGGCAGTCCTCGATCCCGACTTCCATCTTGATGGACGAGTTCAGCTCAGGGTACGTGCTAAGTGTGTGAACTACAATGTCCATCTCCTTGACAACATCGTTGAGGCGGCGGCTGATGGTGGCTCGAAGAAAATAGCTGTGAGAGACGGAGCCATCCTAAGTGAATACTTCCAGTCTCTAGATGCTACGGAGATCAGACACCAAGACAGCCTGCCTGGGAGAACTTTACAGTAGTGTTGAACCCTTCGGGGATTTATATCCCTTTGAGGATTTATGGGCCCTTTTCTTAGAAAAAAGAATACAGAGGCACCTATACACAGACTTCTGCAATTACAGTTTTAGGCAGAGCAGAGTCTTCCTTTAAGTAAAATACTTTTGGGAGCTCATGACTATGAACTAAGAACCTCATCTTAGCAAAAGTGATTTCTCTGCCTTCTACTCCAACAGCATGTTCTAAAGACCTTTCATGTCCCCTACCACTATCTACCATCTGTGTGGACAGTTTGTTTCTTTACCTAACTCCTGGCTGTGTGAGCACAGACATCTGGCCTATACACTTATGTTTACATGCCTGTCCACTAAGCAGTATCTAACCAATAAAAGTGAGGAAGAGGAAATGGATTAATCAAGCCAAGTATTCTTTTCATCTGTCTTTCTCAGCTAACCCTGTGCTAGGCACAGGATAAGTACAATATAGTCTCAAGGGAAGCTCACAATCTGGAGGGAGAGGAACAGACAGACAGAAAAATCAAGACAGGCAACAGGTAATCAGAAACTACAATCCTGGTTTCTGAGAACAAAAGGACTCCTCGAACAAACCTACATGTAATACAACAGAACAGCAACGAAATCTGTGGTCTAACTGGAGGAGGCAGCTGCGTGGGAGGGCACAGGTTTGAAAGAAAATACAGAAGAGGACCCTAACGGTGTAACAGCCACTCAGTGCAGCCTTCTCCAACATCCCAATCCCCTGGATGTAAAACTACACTAACACCCACGAGAGAAGAGTCCCCTTACTTATAATTTCTTCTGAGCAATCCTTTGATAACCCAAGTGCCCGTTAAGCATTACTGGAAAGTTAACAGACATGCTAGCCACATCAACCACACACGTAGGCTACCAGTGTGTGTGGCACTGACCACTTCTAGGCAGTCCTTTTTTATTTCCCTCAGTAACTCCTGCTACAACACAAGACCTTTGTCCCTAACCCTTTTCTAACTGCTCAGGTCTCAAATCTAGTTTGCTCTCTGTAGAAGACTGGTTTTTATTCTATTAAAGATTTTCAAGTTGAGACTTCTAATTCTTTTCTGTTTTGGGCTGTTTTTATTTAGGGCCTAAGCATGTCCCTGCCCTTCACCAGCCACCTTCCCCACTCCAAAAAGAAAAGCCCCTTTTCTCCCCCTCCCAACTGGGGAGGGAAGGAGAGGGGACTGAAAACTCCTGATACTCCAGTACTCACTGCTACTGCGCATAGTTTTGGTGCTGTTGTGTTTTTTGACACAGGGTTTCACTACGTAGCTCTGGGTAACCTGTAACTTGCTAAGTAGACCAGGCTGGCCTCAAACACAGAGATCCATCTGCCTCTGTTTTGCAAATGCATACACCACCATGCCTGACTGTAGGTTTTTGTTGTTTTTTGTTTGTTTGTTTGTTTTGTTTTGTTTTTTGAGCGGGCCTGGAACTCACAGAGATCCCCTGCCTCAGTTTTCCATCTGCTAGGAGTAAAGGCACGTGCCACCATGACTGCCTGCTTTCACTTTTTAATCACGTGAATAATACTGCTGCAGTCACAGGTGTCAGATGATCTGTTCCAGACTCTGTCCAGTTATTTTGGATCCACAACTGAAGTGGAATCGCTAGACCGCACAGTGATTCTGTTTAATTATGTATGTGTGTTGCTGGGGGCTGAGCCCAGTACTTTGTATACACTTTAACTATGTGCACATGCTGCTGCTTTATACAGAGCTATGCTTTCAGCCCTCTGTTTATTTTTGAGGAGCCAACCTACTATTTTCAGTACCTTTCTTCATGACATAAAAACACTAAGGCAAATCCACTGGGTTAGGGGTGGGAATTACCAAGCATGGTGGCACACACCTGTAATCCCAGCATTGAAGAGGTTGAGGCAGAGGGATCTGAGAGTCTGAGGTCAGCTTCGGCCATATAACAAGACCTTGTGTCAATAATTTTTTTTTTTAACAATTCCCAGTGATTGCTAGATAATCCTCACTGGTGCTTTCTCTGGAGTGATAGGATGAGTCCCTGTCTTGCAGGGATCCGGGTGCAACTATTTCAAGAGTCTGTGAACAGAGAGAGTTCTGATGGAGGGAGGGAAACCGGAAGGCAGAGGGAGATGCTGGTCTCACTGTAATCCTCACTGTCCTAAGGCCAGGCCCGTGTGATGAAAACAAGCAGATCCTGTGAGATGGGATCATGTGACTGAAGTGACAGGACACTCTGTTTTATCCCAGCAATGCCATATAATCTAAAAGTCTAGAGCTGCTGTGGTTTCTTTTTTAACCTCAGAGGCCCAGGCATCAGTCTCCTTCCTCAGAGTTTCCCAGACTGTAGTAGAAAAAAACAATCTCAGGTGCTTCTGTGCCCATTAACTTTTTTGTTTATGACCCCTGGGATGGGTTCCCGAGCCTTGTATGTATGTGCTAGGCAATGCTGTACCACTAAGCCAAATGCTTGGCCCTGTGTCCGACTTTTAAAGACTGTGTTATATAACATGAATTGCTAGCCGATCTTATTAATAAAAAAAACCCAGAATCAGATATTGGGGTGAATGCTGAAACATCAGAGAAGCAGAACAGCCACAGCCAGCCTCACCTCGACAACTCCTCAGCCGATCCTGTTTCCTTGAATCCTCAGACTGAAAGCCTCTGAGTTCTCACCCAGAAGGAATCTCAGTTGAACTGCTCTAAAAAGCCTCTAGTTCCTGGTCCTCACGCCTTATATACCTTTCTGCTTCCTGTCATCACTTCCTGGGATTAAAGGCGTGTGTCCTTCCCAAGCAAGGACATGGGATCTCAAGTGCTGGGATTAAAGGTGTGTACCACCACTGTCTGGCCTCTATGTCTAGTCTAGTGGTTGTTCTGTTCTCTGATCACCAGGAAAGCTTTATTAGGATGCACAATATATCAACCATAGTGTTATGCTGTTACATTGTTTTTTTTTTTTTTTAATCTCTTCCAAAAGATGGAGAAGGCAGATCTAGAGTTAGAATCCTAAACTAGTATCTATTTTCAATAGACAAAGCTTCAAGTTACAGAGTCCAAAATGACGTGATGTTGTGTGTCAGAACTAAATGACAAAGCGGTCAGCACCTCTGGAAGCCAAGCTAAGGTGTCCGCCTGCCTGGAGCCACCTCAGGTATGAAAGCCAATTACCGAATTTTCAAGACTTTTAAGAAGTGGTTGTTAAAAATGGCTATTATTTAAATTATATAAGCTTACAAAGAAATGAATTACCTCAGAAACGAGGGCAATCCATATTAAAATCCCTTTTTTCCCTCATTTTCCTGCGCTCTATGAGGCCGTTGGTCTGGAGGGACTCTGTGTGACGATGGTGGTGAAACTGTAACTGTGGTAACTGTACTCAGAGTCACAGACGGCCATGGGAAGTATAGTCAGAAGGCTTCCCAGGGGAGCCCAATGGTAACACTGACCGGCACCCCGCTGCTTGAGCTACTCTTCCTTCTTAAGAGACCCGGAAGAGCTCCGAAGCTCCAGGCCCTGCCCTCGTGGGTCAGGTTCGGGACTACAACAGAGAAACATCAGAGACCATCACTTACCGTAGCTTCACGTTCTGTCCTGTGTAGGATTCATACGGCTTTTCCACATGAGTAAACTCAAAGTCGAAGGCCTGTGATTGGGTGATCTCTCCTGGCCGAGCCAAGTCCTTCACCAGAGACACAAACTCATGGTGGTTCCCACGGTCATAGTAGAGTTCTGGGGAGAGAGCAGAGACTCCTCTAGCCGGCCTGGACGACACTGAACCTAGTGAGGTCACCGCCGGTTGGAGGCACCGTTCTCTTCGGAAGGCCCTGCCTGCACCAGACGTGTGGCCTTGTTTTCGGGTTTCTTCTCTTTCCCTGACCCCAGCCCCTCCAAGGATTTCCCCAAGCACATGCCTCTCCAAAGAAACTTCCTGTTTTGTTTGCTTGTTTGAGACAGGGTCTTACTATGTTACCTAGCTTGGCCACTAGTTCTTAGGCATAAGGAATTCTCCTATCAGTCTCAAACAGCTAGAAAAATAGGTGTGCACCACCATGTCCAGCTGACTCTCCTGCTTCACACAGTGGGAATCCATGATGGGGGGGGCAGTATGATGGAGAGATAACTGAGAGGTTAAGAGCACTTCTTGCTCTTACAGAGGAGTTGGGTTCAATTCTCAGCACCCACATGGTGGCTCACAACCATCTGTAACTCCAGTTCCAGGGGATCCAGTGCCCTCTTCTGGCCTCCATAGGCACCAGGCATGCAAGTGGTGCACAGACATACATGAAGGCAAAACACTCACACACATAAAATAAAGAAACCTAAATAAGTACACAAAAGCCAATGTGATGCTCCAGGCCATTGCTCCTGTTACCAATCTTCTGACTGGGCACCAGTAAAGGTAAGATTCTGAGATGGTTAGCATAGATTCAGTGAGCAGCTTCAGCATGTATCAAGAGAATCGATTATTTAAAAAAAAAAAAAAAAAAAAAAGAGCACCTTTCTAACATTCCTGATTTTTGCAGGAAATGCATGGTTACTTTATTATAACTTCCTTCAGTAATTCTGCAAGAAGGATAAGTCAGGCCTTATCATTCCACAGTTCAGTCTGGCCTAGAATTCACTATGCAGCATAGGCTAGCCTCAAACTCACAGCAAACCTTCTCTCTTACCCTCCCAAATCCTGGGACTATAGATGTGAGCTCATACCCAGTTGATAATTCTTCATGATAAACTCATGTTATCATGACCCAAATTATTTTATGACTTTTTGTACTCTGCAATTTAAGAATTAAGTTTTGAGATATACATGGTCCTTCTTTTCTCCTTTGGACTGAAGGATCTTTAAAGATGAGGCCCATAGCTCCAGCTTCCTGGCTTCTAGTTGTAAGCACTGAATTCTGCCTGTAATGATGAAGGGCCACATGACAGGTCAGGCCTCATCTCTCAAATATTCTTGAATTCAAGCACTGTGCTGTAACCCACAGGAGAAAGATGAACCGGAGCAATGGAACAGCTGCTTGAGAGACAAGTCCACTGCCCCTTCAGCCTGGTCTCAGCATCTCCAGAGCATCATCTGTCTCCCTCGGGAGTGACTGGACTGCTCAGAGCAGTATACTTGCTGTGGGTCCAGCTCCAACAGCGAAGATCTGAAGCCTCGATTGGGATCAAAACCTTACTGGGCCCAGGAAACCAGATATCCCGCCCCTCCGATGCCAATGCAGTCTTCAGCCCTGTCCCGGGGAAAAGACCATCTCCAGACAAGGAGAAAAAGTCTCGGCTGTTAATCTTAACCTGAGTGCAAATTCCCCTCAATTCTCCACAGGCTTCCCCTGACGTGCTCATCCCATGGGGAGCTTTTCCTTAGCTCGGGGGCATTTGGAAGTAGAGTGGGCTGTTGTAAGATACACCCAACTTGAGCGGTGGGGGGGGGGTGGTGTATTAAAAGTGGTTGAGTGCTTGTCTGGCATGCATGAGGTGGCCCTGGGTTTGAGCGAAAGAAAAAAAAAAAAAGAGGAAAAGAAAAAGAAATAAACAGACCAAAACTAAGCAAACAAACAAACAAAACTCAAAACACAATTATGCAGTTAATAGATAATTCCATTCTAGTAATGCTATTTCCATACAAGTTTACAGTGTATCCTGTGGCTAATATATGTGGCTTATTTCCTACCTCATTATACTTTGATCAATTTTTTTGTTTTGTTTTGGTTTTTGAGACAGTGTATCTCTGTAGCCCTAGCTGTCCTGGAACTTGCTATGTAGACCAGGCTGGCTTTGACCTCACAGAGATCCACTTGCCTCTGCTTTGAGTACTAAGTATTAAAGGCATGTGCCACCATACCCAGCCATCAGCCTTTTATTACAAATAATCTACTTCCTCTTTCAAATACTAAGTGATCTCAGTAGTGGGTGGCATGGTGGGTAGTGAGTGATAATCTCAAATCCACCAAAGGGAGAGGGTGGTTCCGAATTACGTGAGAGAAAGTTATCAACCCAGTAACTAACCATGCCCCCAGTGAAGTAAGAATATGCAGAGATGGACAGGGCAGGACAGAGCTGGCCCTCCTCAGCAACAGGAACTCTTCCACTCAGTCTTGTGACCTAACCTGGTAGCTGGCGCTGGCTCATGCAAGAACTGAATCCCTAACTGAGGAACGCTCTGTCTCAGCTCCCAAGCCCCCCAGTGCCAGTGAATTCAAGTAAGAAGCACAAAGCCCCAGGACCCGTGAACTTTCAATGGAAAATTGTAGCATCAAGAGGGAAATGGAAAGGGAGAATGGAAAAAACCACAAACTCGATGATCATACAGCCCAAAGGCAACATGAGGAATAAACAAAACAGAGAGGGTTCCGAGTGTGCTCAGGCTGCCAGGATTTGAGGATCCTAGCAACGGCTCAGAAGGACACTGCCTGGCCCAGCAGGGGACTTGGGGAGAAGTCCTTTTCTGTACAGCATCACGTTCTCCCCAGCACTTTTCTTCCCACAGCACATCAGTATCAGTGCCTGCATGAAACGCCACGGGAGAACAGTGTGGTCCACGGAGGGCTAGAATGGCCTTTCGTTGCTTTACTTTCTTGAAATGGGTCTTGTTACATACATATCCCAGGCTGGCCTTAAATTCATGGTCGTTCTCCTGATTCATCCATCCTCCCTAGTGCTAGGGTTAAGGTGTATGCCAGCGATCACATCTAGCTTGGAATGGCCTTTCTGATTTATAAGGTTATAAGAACTTGGAATGCTTCCGCAAACACTGTGGCCAAAAGGGCAGAAATAGTTGCTTTACACTGTTATTTGCCAGGAAGGTTGGTTTCATCTTGAATATACGGAGGCAGAAAATCCAAGTGTTCTAGCAAGAGGCCTAGGCCCTCCAGTGCCCATAAAAACAGCCTGTCTTCCATCCCAAACACGGAAGCCCTTCAGGCTAGAAGTAGAACTGAACCCCTCACTCCACTCTTTTTTTTTTTTTTTCCAAGTAACGTCTGTCATTAGTTTCCTTCTTCACTCAAAAGGAGGAAATAATTTTTGCACTCAGGATGTTTTCGTGGTAATACCTCCCACCAACGGCCAAGAAGTGGGGTTGCCACTATAGAAGGAAATTGAGCCAGCTTTGCATCACAGGCTGAGCCTCTGGGACACCCTGGGACCTGCTGCTGGATGAGCACCACACACAGTCTAGGCTTCATGTTGGACTTGGGAGAGGTATAAAGCCAGAGCCTCCTTCTCATCCAACTTCCCTAGCCTGTTTGCTGACTACATGATGAAGATCCTTGCTGGCTACAGCTCCTGCTCCTGGCACACCTCTGGGTTGTCCACACTCAGCTCTGCTCTGTGCAAATTCAAGCCCCGCTGAGAACTGTAGTAAGTGCTGGAACCAATCCGGTTAACCTCTATGTGCTTTTACATTTGGTATTTCAAAAGTAAATGCGTTTAAGAAAAAAAAAAGTCTCGAGAGTTTTTAAAAGTACAGGCTTATTGGTACTGATGAGCTCATTAAAAACTTCGTGAAAAGTATGCTTTTGGCTCTGGGGTATAAGGATATTTGTGTCTGCCCATCTCTGCAAGTTTGACCTTCTAATTATATTTGGTTCATTTAACCCCATTAGCCTGCAAGGTTCCCAAGTCTCGATTATATCCTCTAACAGTGTTTCCCAGAGGACTGCAGCAGGAAAACGATCTTTTCTATAACTATGCAGTAGTTCCTTGGGTGCTCTCTGTATACTACTGCATTGTGCTAATCCCACCGGTCTAACCTGGAAGACTTCCCTCATGACACATTTATTGGCATTGTTCCAACAGAGACTATGCCATGAGAAGACCTGAGCTAGGTACAGGGAGGGTAACAAAGCAGCTGAAGAACCTAGGAAGGATGACACAAACATATGGCTCTAAATGGAGAACTAGGAACTTACTACTCTCTTGGAACAACATTCAGACTGTAACACCAGAGCAGCTGCTGTAGGGCCCAGTGAGCCACAGGTCTGGCAAACTCTTCTTTTCTCAAACAGGGAGAGGTCATTTCAACTTGACATAGGAATATGATGGGAAAAAAATGCAAAAACAAGTGAGCTGGCATCAGATTTATTGTTTTCACATCCTAGATCCCTCAGGAAAATGCTGCTCCATAAGGTGCATGATGGTCACATGCCACCTAAGTTCTCTGTGGCCTTAACTGAGGAACAGCTAGCTAGCTCATGAATGTCTCCTACACAAACATGTGCAGGAGACCCAGCTGCTTGATGTAGACTGTTTCTTCCTCCCATTAGAGTAATTCCAGGGGCCAGGGATGTAGCTCAGAGTTGCAGAATACTTGCCTGGCAAAGCTGTGGCCCTAAGTTTGTTCCTGGCTTCTACAGAAGATGAGAAAAGGGGCTGGAGACATAGCTCAGTGGTTAAGAGCACCGACTGCTATTCTGGAGGACCTGGGTTCAATTCTCAGCACCCACATGGCAGCTAACAGCTGTCTGTAACTCCAAGATCTGACACCCTCACACAGACATACATGCAGGCAAAATAAATAAATGCAAATAAAAATTTAAAAAAAAGATGAGAAAAAAATTCCAGAAAACGGTTTCTGTAAAATCTTAGATCTGAACCAGTATTATCCAGTTAACAAACGTTTACTGAGCACTTTATATGCTAGCCATTGAGACTAGAGATTAACCACTGGGCTAGTGATGGACTGAAGGCAGTCTCTGGCGTTTGGGATAAGAAGATAGACAACTGAAAAAACAAGATAAACCCAACAATAATGAAGTCACAACCTGCTTGAAAAGAGGTATCCCTGGAGCTTATAGTAGAGGAAGTGACTAGGTAGGCCTTTGAAGAAAAAGAACAAATGGGTAGGTCATGCTTTTCAGAAAAAAAAAATGTTAAGATATAAGGGGAAGATGGCTGTGAGCTGATATGTGGGTGCTGGGAATTGAACCCAGGACCTCTGGAAGAGCAGACAGTGCTCTTAACCGCTGAGCCATCTCTCAGTCCCTCTTTACTTCATTTTCTAAGGTAAGGTCTCACTAGCCCAGGCTGGAATCGAACTCATGATCTTCTTGCTTCTGTCTTCCAAGTGCCAGGCTGACAGGTGTGCAGCACCATGCCTGACTAGAAGAGGCTATCTGAAGGAGCTATGGTCTGTGAGGATGAAGTTAAAGAGAGATGGATCTGGAAAGGCAGGCTGAGACAAACTCCATGAAAAATAGATAGACTCCCTCTAAGGAGCTGGTAAAAACAACAACAACATCAACAAAAACTTTAAAGGGATCAGCAATATGAGAACTGTCTTTTAGGGAGTTCATCCTTGCAGGAGCTAATGAGAAGGGTATAGAAGAAGAGACTGCCTGAGCCCGTTATGGAGTGACACAAGGGACTCCAACTCCTCCAAGACCCCAACAAACAAACAAACAAACAAACAAGCAATCTGCTTCATCAGGAAGGAGGACAGAACTCAGAGATGCCAAGTCGCTCTCTCTGCTTACAGCTACAGATACCCAGATAGCCTGACCTTATAACCTGGCAGAAGTTCCACCTACTTGATACATAGTCAAAGAATGCAACCAAGGAGAAAAACCACAGAACCACAACTTCAACAGAGCTACCCACTCGCCGCCTCGCTCCGCTGCCCTGAAGTCACTTCAGAATAACTGTCTTAGATGTATGACACAATACGTCATGCCTTGATTCTTTGGAGAAGTCACAAAGATAATAAAGAAATAAGAAACTTAAGAAAGGACTTTGCACCTCTGAATAGCTGGTGCACCTTTAACATCAATCAATTTTAGGAACAGAGGGCGGAGGAAGTGGGAAGATAAACTTTTACACCAAACATATCTAGAAAGGCTTTTTCTTTATTGCTTTGTTTTGAGACAGGATCTTGCTATAAGCCAGACTGGCTTTGAACCTCGAGAGAGATCTTCCTGGCTTAGTCTCTGCAGTCCTGGGATTATAAGTATAGGCCATTATGTCTGGTTAGAAAGGTTTTTTTTTTTTTTTTGCTGTCTTCTCCCTAATCAAGAAATATACCTCAAGCCCAAACAATGAATATACCGTTTATAATTCTGTTTTAATCTATTCCCATTCTCTTGTGTCACCATGGATAATGAATGGGAATGAACATGAACTATATATATATACTTTAGGCACCACACCCACCGCTAGCTGTTTGTGTCCATGTGGCACAAACAAAAGCTTTAAGGCAAAGAGCTGAAACATAAACTTTGTGAAAAGTCCATATGGCAACCTCACTGGGAAGAGTATAAGAAGTCTAGGGGAGACTGAGCTGGTGGCTGTAATTCAGTTTGTGATACACAAGTGTCACTACACTGACTGCTCTTATCTTTATAAAGGAACTCTCTGAGACATGAGACACAGTCCCCCAATAGCCCATCCTAATAACCAGGTGATTTTAGTATTCTAGATTTACAGGTGACAAAGCTGAGGCCTGATCAGGTCAGAGTGCCAAGGGCCCAGGGAAAATGATCCCAGGAAGCAATAAAAGGTTTTAAGAGAATTCAGTAAGGTTACAATCTTGGAAATGCAGGAGTTAGGCAAGAGACGGTGTGGGGGGTGGGGGGAGCCTGGGGGAGGGGCAATTAGAACAGTCTCTTTGCTCCTTTGCATTCAGATAAAAGAGACTGAAATCTTTTTTTTTTTTTTAACAGATTTAATTCACTTTATTTTTCTTGTGGTAGCCGGAGGGATAGCCGTGGGTGCTGGGAACCGAACTCTTATATTTTTGGTTGTGAGCCTAGCCTTTAACGGCTGAGCTATCCCTCCAGCCCGAGACTGAAATCTTGACACCACGCATTCCTTCTAGGATGGCTCATTTCATACTGTCTGAAGCAGGGGACATTCTGAGTTATTCATAATCACGGCGTAATGGTATAGGCAAAGACTAAAACATACCCGTTTACACTGGTATTAGAGAGCTAAAGAACTAATGTAGCAACTCTAAACTCCTACTTAAAATCCCAATTCTCAGTAGGCAAGTATTGACTATTTCATATGTTATACTTAACATAAAATGCTTTGGATTTATATAATCAGACCTGGCATTCTTTACTAAGAGTGATTTTATCCTCCAAGGGGACACATGGCAATATCTCACGGCATTATGTGTAAAAAGTAGGGAATGTCACTGGTTTATAGCACAGGAAAGGCTGAGGATACAGCGTAAAGTCTGCAACAACAATGATCAGCCGCCAGATATCAATCAACAGTGCACCTGTCCAGCCGTCCAAGCCAGAAGCAGGGGAGCAACCAGTGTGAAATTCACACTTGCCCTTTTCTGGCAGAGCAACAGATCTTTCACATCCTAGTTTTAAAAACAACCCAACAGGTCCTTTATGATCAGCCAGTCTTCAGCTGGATTTCCCATTTTAAATACCAGATGCTTAAGGACAAACAGTGGGTTGTAAAATCTGGCCACCAGGACTCCTTTTCCCAGGGCTCCTCCTACCAGTGCTCCCTGCCTCTGTAAAGGGGAGAGAACAGATGCCATGCTAAACTCTTAACATGTGAATTTAACAAGCTCTTCCAGTGAAGTCTCTAAAAGCAGTGTCCATATGTGCAGTATGGAGTACAGGTCAGGGATTTCCTGACAAGTGTTCACCATCCACAAGACATAACCTACCCATGACCTCATGACACAAATATTTTATTTTGGAAGCAGTTTGATAACACAAAAGACTCCAAATATTTAGAACTGGTGACAGCCCAGTCACGATGATGGGCAGCTCCCCAGATCTTTGCGGGGTTTTGTTTTGACACAGGGTTTCACTCACTATGTTTCAGCAGCCAGCCTGGAACTCACTCTGTAGGCCAGGCTGGGCTTCAACTCGCAGAGATCTCTGCCTCCCGAGTGCTGGGATGAAAGACGTGCGCCGCCACACTCAGCTGACTCCCCAAATATTTTTGTTTTACTACTTTCCCTCGTCTAGTTCTAGCAAAATTAGCAGCCATATTTTGAAGATGATTATTGAGCACTGCAAATTTTTGATCATTTAATTGTAATCTTTGCAGTATCACTTCTTTCACTTTAAAGAGAAAAATTAGACGGCTAAAAACCAGCATTCTAGTAAAGAAGTCTGAGAAATATAGGCAGTCAGAAGGAGGCAGGCTGAAGGTATTCAAAACATGAACATCAAAGGTAGTTCAGAGTGTAGGTGAGATAAACAGAACCTTTATTAACCCTGTCTACCAAACCTTATCTATCTCTCTATATGTACACATACATGTACATATACATACATACACACATGTATGTGTGATATATATATATATACATATATACACACACACACACACACACACACACACACACACACACACACACACACACACACACACACACATATATATATATATATATATATATATATATATATATATATATATATGTGGGTGGGGCCGCCGCTTAACTTTGGATTGGATCTGACAGATCTGGCTGTCAAACCCACCTGCAGGATATTGCCTAAGCACCTCTCTATGAAATCCCTGGTGCAAGAAGCTGGGGGCATACCGCAGGGACAATGGGGGTACCCAGGTACCAGATGAGCATCCAACCGTACAGTAGGGGGCTCACTACCGTTCCTAGGCTGACCCCCCCCACACCCCCACCCCCAGCAGCACGCTGTCACTTTTGGCTTGGAAGAAGGTAATGAATGCATGGGGGAGTCGCCCACGGGCGGGACTCGTGGGTGAATCCTAGGCTTCAGACTGCAGTTGACAAGAGCCTGTCACAGGCCTCGCAGGAGCTGGGCCCTGAAAATCTCTGCTGCCCGCCCGTCCCACACTTGACTCCAGGGGCCGGCTGACGTCGGGGGGGGGGGGGCTCTGGGAGATCCCAGGGAATCGACTCACCGATCTGCCCAATGAACTCGATCTTGATGCCCTGGTGCTCTAGTCGCTTGTTGGGGTTCTTCAGAGATAAGCTCACCTTCCCCGAGACGGTTTCCCCGTCGTAGAAGAGGAAATATTTCTCCTTCTTCCCGTCCTCTGTCTTGTGCTCCGCTCGCTTCCTACTCTCGGCATCATTCAACAAGATTTCCACCTCCACGCTCTGCCCGAAGCCGAAGAAGCTCATCTCCCCGCCTGGCCGCGCCGCTGTCGGCACAGACTGCTCCCTCCCTCCAAGGTGCGGGCTGCCTGCGGGGAAGGCGGGCCGGAGGGCCGGCTGCGGGAACGCGCTGGACGCCGCACCGCAGCCCTGCTCCGCTGAGCTGGGCGGTGGGCGATCACCGACGGCCTGCGCCCCTGGGGAGGGGCAGGGCCGAGCAAGGCAGACGGCTGCGGGCTGCGGCGCCCGGAGCAGCGATGCACCGAGAGGCCAGGCACCGTGCCTCCCCAGATCCCGGAGGTGCAGCGGCGAGGGCCCAGGCGCACAGGCGCAAGCACGCTTCCCGTCGCCCACCGGGTGGGGTCCAGCGCCGAGCCGCGAACCGAACTGCCTGGATTCCCGCGGTGCAACGCACCGAAGTGCTACGGCGGCGCCGGGCGGGGGAGGGGGCAGGAGAACTCCGGCCCGGATGCGAAGGAGATGCCACGCGCAGGCGCACGTCTTCTGCTCACCCCCTCTCGCTCCCCCGCCTCCAGGCCGCCTGGAGGCGCGCTCATCTGCGCATGTGCGGCGCCAAAGGGCGGCTGGCCTCTCCCTTAATTAACATGGCGGCCCTGGCTTCTTTCCAGCAACACCCGGGCCCAGATGTTCCGTAAAGTCCTAGCACTGCAAGTGCGCCCTTGTAATACTTCTGGTTGCATTTCCCTTATTGCTTAGCCCGGCAAACGCCGGGATACTCTTCACGTTCGAATATGAACAACGCTTGCGTGCTGTCTGACGGGTGAGGTACCTTTGACACGCACGCCAAGTGTCACTCGGCAGGGGCCAAGGTGACTCCTGGTACAGGAAGTGTCCTAGCTCCGTTGGCCTCTGGGTTTCCTGTCGTGTAAGAAAGACAAGCCTGGTAACAAGAACGCTAGTGTGGTCCTGACCCCCCACTTGAACTGGCATGCAGGAGGAAAATCTGCACCCTTGTTTAGCCTCCAGCCTTCGCCCCACCCACTTCTGCGCACGCAATGGACGAAGCAGACCATTGGCTTAGGTTACGAACTCGGCCCAGCGCGGTGATTGGCCGACTGTAAATCCCGAAGGCTGTGACTGGTCCGCAGAAACGTCTTGGAGCGCGCGCGGGAGCAGAGGCAAGCCGGTACTTCCACGGTCATGATGGCGCTTCGGGATCTTGGGAGAGATCTGCAGCCTTGGTGTCCGCCGGATCTCAGCCTCGGTGAGCTCAGACTCGCTGCCGCCAGCCCTGGGTTCAGGGCTTGGGGTGCTTTGCAGGGCCCGAGGTGTCGCAGCCCGCGGCCTGGTCCGGGTGGGGGTGGGGTAAGGGGAAGACCCGGTCTGTGCAGCGACCGCGAGCCCCAGGATTGTGACAATCCCTCCCGGGTGGTGGCCAGCCAGACGTACGGTGGGATCTCAGTCCAGACGAGCAACTGTTAAAAAGGGAGCTAAATTGTTCTAGCGTGCGGGAGGCCGAGGCTGGAGGATTGCCATGAGTTCAAGACCATCCTGGGCTGCACAAATGAGTTCAAGTTGGTATGGGCTACAAAGGGTGTGTCTCAAAAACAAAACCGCAGCAACGTAAAACGCTAATAGTTGGCCTCTCCTGGTGCTAGCGCATCTGTTCTCTTCATCTGTCACCTTCATTCTGCCAAGTCTTCCTGGACTTAACCAATCCCATCTCCAGGTGGTTGTAAACAGCCGATGTCTTTGTTCAGACAGATTTTGTTTTCTTAAAATCTGTGGTCATACGTTCAACTAGATGGCTCACATGCAGACCTCGTTAGATGTCCGAACGAAGTCGAGATTCCCAAAGCCAGCCAGGTGTACCGGCTAAATCATAAACTTGGGAGTTCCCGCTCTCACGCCCACTGCCCCCTGTTGTCCCTACAGCCAGGCTCCAGCCCTACTGCTGCTGTCCAGGCCCAGGTCCTCATAGCCAGCCTGGGCAATTGCAGGATAATCCTCACTGCTTTCTGATGCTGTCACTGACACCTGTATGCCCTGCATTACCCCTTTGAAGGTACCGGTTTGCATGTCTCAGTTCTCTGGGTCTTTGACAGATGACCAGATCATTGGCCTACCGTGGAAGAGGAGTTGTGGAGGTCTGTCCTGCAGGCATGGCCTCTGCTGTCTTGACATCAGAGCAGTTGTAATTATCCACAGGAGACTGTTGCAGGGGTAGAAAGGGAGGAGGATGTCAGTAGACCCCTAGGAGAAGTTCCAGCCATTCCTCCCTTTGCCCTTCCCAGCTTGATATAACCCTGACCCAGCTGCATGTGGTCCCGAGCAAGAGGGCGTGCTAGGATATGCAGCAGGTGGGGTAGCAATGGAGTGCAGTGGCGTTCACTTGTGCCACGGCGTGGCTTTTAGGTAACTCGGCTGCCTGAGAATCGTCTATGCCTCTGGAGGTAACTCCAGTAAACAAACACATTGGCTCACAGTGCTGGGCTTAGGTGGAATCTTTTCTTTGGTTGTTAGCGCCCTTACAATCTGGTGATAAGATATGTACCTGAGGGCAAGCTGAACGTGGAAGTATGCGTGAGAGGAATCCTAGAGTGGCTGTCTTCCTCTGTGTGAGTGGTTCTCAACCTTCCTAAGGCTGCGTCCCTTTAATACAGTTCTTTATGTCGTGGTGACCCACAACTACAAGATTATTTTGTTGCTATTTAGTAACTGTAATTTTGCTACTGTTATGAACTGTAATGTAAATACCTGCTATGCAGGATATCTGACATGTGACCTCTGGGAAAGGGCTGTTTGACCCGTCCCCGTTGAGGACCACAGATTGAGAACCACTGCCCTGTGTGCTATGGAGTACAATGCCTTTTGGATGGAGTTCGCCATACAAGCAGGCTATGGTGGTGGGGATGCCCTGAAAATGGAGAATGAACTAGAGAATATAGTGCGGTGTTTGAAAACAGCACATTGGAAACTGGGTTACAGGCCGGCTAAGGCAGCAGCTTTTTGGTCCTTGCCATTGAAGCCATGCCATCTACCCAGAAAAAACTGCATGGGGGTGGGGGGGGACGACGGACACATGTGACGCCGCCCTCCACGTTAGCTTATGTATGACTCAGGAAGTGTGGGGAGAGGTGATGAGATGGAGGTATTGGCTTGCTGCTTTGAATGGACGGCAGTGGGGCATAATGGAATCTGAGGTAGAGAGCCCCTCCTGGCATCCAAACCTTGGAACCTGTGGGAAAAACCAGAGAGGAGGGAGAGAATAAGGGAGAAGTGGTAAACAATGTTACTCTGGTTTAATTTTTAGTACAGAAGAAGCGGGGCAAGGGTGACCCATAATTCAGCATGAAAACGGAGGCCTTAAAAATGGCCTAGCATAAGAACCTGTTGCTTAGGGGACACACTGCCTCTAAACTGCTTCAGTTGGTAAGGACTTAGTTAAGAAATGAAAGAGCCTTTCACAGCCTGGCTTGTGAGGCTACGGGACATGGAAGCAGATGGGATCAGCCTGAGTGCCCTGAAGCGTAGAAACTGAGAAATATAATTGCACCTCCCTCCTTGAGACAAGGGCTGCATAACCTGAGGTGATACAAAGGAAATGGTTCCTGATAGACTGCCTCTTACAAGCCGGTGGGCACACTTGGCTGACACTGGCCCAAGTCTCCCTAACTATCAGGGCCAGGAAGATGAAAATATAAGGAATTAACCGAAGAAATTGAGGATCAGGGAAGTGTCTGATGCCCAGGTCTTTGGGCCATATAGGCATTGTGTTCATGGGGTCGGTGAGGAAGAAATTCAGCAGAGACCGCAGGTCTGGTGTGGGACTTCGGTGTCTTTGCTGACCCCACAGTAAGGCGTGATCTTTTAGAGACAGGAGAGGCTGTGGTGGGTCATAATGACAGCCTGGCATATACACAGGGGACATGTAAATCAGATAGGAAAGGTGCTGAAACCCTCAGGAGGGAATGAAAAGGAGGGAAACAGACGATGGGGAAAGCAAGCGTAAGATCTGTGTCGAGTGAGAATTCCTTGGGGAAGAAATGACAGGGAGCCAAATCCAGTGCTTGTGAGCCTCTGGAAGGCTGTAAGAGCCCAGCCCACGGTTTGCAGAAGGCATTAATGATAGAGTAGTGCATGTGAGAAAGTTTTAATCTTGTTCAAAGAGTGGGTAATTACCCCTTCCCGAGCATACACTGTTTACATGTTCCCATCGCAGTAAGTATTCGGGGTGGAGTTGCTTGGGACTTGGGGCCCTTTCGGTAGCCATGTGTGACAGACAGAGAGGTGCTGCCCATGAGGCTGTCAGGCCAGGAAGCAGGCTGTATGTAGTGGTGAGCAGGTAAGAGTCAGCTCTACCGCCCCCCCCCCACCTTGTGCCGGGGCTGGCCCTCATGCAACACAACTTCCCCTGTTCTCTCTGTCTGCTTTCTAACATGTTACCTTTGGCATCGGGGTGCTTTTCGGTTAGTTTGTTGTTGTTTGAGCTGCCATTGGACATATTGTTTAACCTTGATGAGCCTCAGTTTCCTCATCTGTCAAATGTAGTTTATAATGTCAGTGGGATTTTTGTACAGAGGAACTTAGTACCTGGTGTGTGTGAACAGATGCTGATGCTGACTCTGACCCTCTCAGCTCAGACCCTCAGGTTGGGACTGTTCTGTTTCCTTTGCCCCCGCTCTTCGTTAGCCCGTGTTCTCCGTCTTCCCACATTCTTTTCCCTCATGCACCCCCCTGTTCAGGTCCAGTTAAGAAGCCATCCTCCCTCCATCTTTCCCTTCTCTACCAGTCCTATTTCCTGTTTCCTGTCAGTGCTGTGCACACGTATCTCTTACTGTATCGACACTCACGCATTATTAAAGAAATGATAGTTGTTTGTTCAGTGAGGGTTTTATTTGTGGCTAGTGCATTTTTTGGTCTTTCACAAAAATTATGGAGTGCCAGTGATGAGTAGATTAGCTGTGCCTTAGTGGACAAGTTAACACACTAGCTTTGTACTTTATGACTCAAAACTCAGTAACATTTCTTGTAGGATAAACTGTTTTTGCAATATTGTAGCATGTTGATCATTGTGGGTATTCATCTTATAATCTAGAACTTAAAAGGGCTTTATCAAGTATTTTCTTAAAATGTTTGTTGAGGGGTATCTTTCCACTTCAGTCTTAGGTCAGCAAAACAGGAGTTGTCTCCATTTGACAGCTAAGAAGTAAGATAAGGAGTGGTTTGGTTTATATGGGGAAATTAAATGATTCGATGACAGTCTAAAATTAAATATGAGCAGAGTCATTTTTAGGAACTAGGTTACCTGACACCAGAGTATTTTTCTTTTTTTTTAATTTTTATTTTTATGTGTACAGCTGTTTTGCCTGCACATATGTCTGTGTACCACGTGCGTGCCTGCTGCCCACAGAGGCCAGCAGAGGGTGTTAGATCCCCTAAGACTGGCGTGACAGAGAATTGTGAACTGCTGTGTGGGTGCTGGGTCCTCTCGATGAGCAGCCAGTGCTCTAACTACCGAGTCATCTCTCCAGCCCTTTTGGGTTTTGTTGTTGTTTTGTTAGTAGATATGTATTCGTTTACAAAAGGGTGAGTTTTATCAAGACCTTCTCCTATGTGTATGTCATGTACCTTGCTCATGTTCACCATCACCACCCCTTTGAGGGGGAACTTTACCTGTTTTCTATCCCAAATTTTTCCAATAAACCACTTCTCTTAGGCTGAGTGTGGTGGCCCACGCCTTTAATCCCAGCACTCAGCAGGCAGAGGCAGGCGGATCTCGGAATGTGAGACCAGCCAGGTCTACAGAGTGAGTTCCAGGACAGCCAGGGCTTCACAGAGAAACCCTGTCTCAAAACCAAACAACAACAAACTAAAACCCACCAACACCAACAACAAAGCACTTTTTATGTAATTGATAGGTGTTATTACATCTTAGAGATGAAGTGGTAGACACGAGAAACTAGAAATGATATGACTTAAGTCACACCAATAATTTTAGGAAGATTCTAAAATCAGGGCCAGTCATTGCCTTCCAAATTTGACCTGATCTAGTGACAGTATTGAGCTATCTCAAGCAGAGCAGACAGGGAAAGATTCTTTCTCGCCTGTGATGCCTGTAATGAGCATTGAAACATTTCTGCGAGTTCACAGAAGGTATGGTTATATCCTTCAGTTTTCTGAATGTTGGGTCCTATTTTGCTTGTAGCTGTGGCTTCACCACCAACTGAGCTGCATTCCCAGCCCCGTTAGGTCTTCTCTCAGACAGTTTGCAGGTGTTTAGAAGGAATACTGTGCAAAGGAACTTGAGCTACTGAAACTTCCAATTTACAGAAGATGATGATGGACAGATTGTACTCTAAGGAGACAAATTGCTGAGTATAATGTGATACTGAGAACCATGAAGTGAAGAAGAGACCTCTCATCTCTTAATTCTGTCTTTATATTATGCTCTGTTCAATTTCCTCCTAAATGATGATGGACTTACAAAGAATATTACTTTGAAGATATACCTGACTAATAATTTGAGATAGCCACAAACTCATCTGGTCCTAATTTTAGATGGGGTTGGGGAATATCTGGTTAGAAAAAATGGGTTGAGTTTGGGTTGAGAAGCCTGGTGAGGAACACCACTGGAAGGCTGTTTGCTCTCTCTAAGTCACATATTCCTCTCATTGGTGTGCTTGGGAGTCACTGAGTACTTTTGTATGAGCCTGGCTTGTCTCTGTTAGTTTAAACATTGTGGGAAGTGGTTTCTCTGTTTTGGCCCAAGGTTTTATTGTCCGGGGGCCCAGTGAAATGCTGTATGTTTTATTTGGGTTTATTACCTTGCTTATGAAATTTTCACAGAGAAGTGGCTGAAGAGCTCAGTTGATGCTTGGGTCTTTTTTGTGCAAAACTTACAAGAAAACTTGATCACTAAGTTTGTTCAAGAACTGTTTTATTTCCTGGAACTGTTAACATCTAAAAAAATGTTTTCTTGATATTTTTAGATTTATTTTTATTTTATGTGAATGAGTATTTTGCTTGCATATATGTCTATGTACCACATTCATGCCTGGTGCCTACAGAGGCCGGAAGAGGGTGTCAGATCCCCTGAGACTGGGGTTAGGGATGATTGTGAACCGCTGTGTAGGTGCTGAGACTGGAACCTGGATCCTCTGCGAGAGCAGCCAGTGCTCTTCAGCCCTCTTTGATATTTTTAGATGATTAACCTAGTTAGTTGTCAGTTGTCCTTTGTGATTGTAAAAAGAGATTATCTTTTCTTTGTTTTTCTTCTGGTTTTTGTTGTTGGTGGTGTGGTGGTTTTTTGTTTTGTTTTGTTTTGTTTTTGGTTTGAGACGGGGTTTCTCTGTGTAGTCCTGGCTGTCCTGGAACTTGCTTTGTAGACCAGGCTGGCCTAAAACTCACAGAGATCTGCCGGCTTCTGCCTCCCGAGTGCTGTCATTAAAGGTGTTCGCCATCATGACTGGCTTTGGATTTTTGAGACAGGGTCTTGCTGAGCAGCTCTGTTCTGGAATTCACTGTGTGGCTCTAGGTAGGCTTTGAATTTGTGGTAATCCTCCTGTATCAGACTTCCAAGAACCTGGATTATTCCCTACCACTATGCTTACATTAAAAAAGGTTTTCTTAATCTTTATGGCTTTCCTTTTGTTACATATAACACCTGTATGACTGTAGTCGTATCTGTGAATGTATCTAGAATACACCTGGCATTTAAAGGTGATTGTTATTTACTTGCTTGAGAGCATTTATTAATTTTACTCTATTTTCTCTTAAAGAATGGGTGAACTCAGTATGGGAACTGGACTTCACAGAGACTGAGCCTTTGGATCCCAGCATAGTAGCAGAGATCCTAGAGACTGGAACAGATGCCTTCACAAAACTCTATGGAAGCCTTTTGCCCTTTGCTACAGAAGAAAGTGGATCCTTAGAGGTAAAAAGATAAATAAATAATCAAACGACCTGCTTTTATGTGCTACAGAGGATGAGGGTCATTATAGTTTAAATTAAAAAGAATTTTCTTGGGTAGGTAATGTGAAAACTATGCTCTGTTCGTTGGGCTGTCTTAGAAGCTTTGCTCCAAATGTTGGAGGTTCTGGTTGTGATTTTTGTTTTCAAGACATGACCGCTCTTTTACAATATCGGGTTGAAGGTGAAACAGAAAAGGAAGGGTTACCAGACAAACCAAGCGAAAAGGCCACTGAAAGTTTAATAGCAGCCCAGGCAGGCCTGAACTTTAAGAAAGCTTGTATTAACCGGCTGGTGGTGGTGCATACCTTTAATCCCAGCACTTAGGGAGGCAGAGGGAGGTGGATCTATGAGGTCAAGGCCAGCATGGTCTACAGAGTGAATTCCAGGACAGCCACAGATACACAAAGAAACCCTGTCTCAAAAAAAAAAAAAAAAGAAAGAAAAGAAAAAAAAAAGAAAGAAAGCTTGTATTAAAGCTTGTATTAAAGTAGTAAGGTGATTTACACATGGCCGTAACACTGTGCTCTGCATCCTGTGCTGGTGGACGTTGCAGGTGTCAGAGAACAGCTTAGTCTTGCCTCTCAGATGCCTTCCACTTTTCTTTGAGTTAGTGGGCTCCACTAACTTGGAAGTTTTCCAAGTAGGCTAGGCTAGCTGGCCGGTGATCTTCAGGGATCTGCTTATCTCTGCTATCTGAGAGTCCAAGCTCAGGCCTCATGCTTTGTGAGCCAAGTGCTAGGCCCACTAAGGCATCTCTCCAGCCTTCTTGTGCTTGTTGATATTGAGATCATTAACTTCTTTTAAGAAAGAAGGTCAGCAGGGCGTGATGATGCACACCTTTAATCCCAGCAATAGAGTTTGAGGCCAGCCTCTTCTACATAGTGAGTTCCAAGACAGCCAGAGCCACATAGTGAGAACCTGTCTTTAAAAAGAAACAAATGAATGAATGAATAGATAGATATGATAGATAGATAGATAGATAGATAGATAGATAGATAGATAGATAAGAAGCAGTCATTGTGGCACACACCTGTAATCCCAGTACTTGGGAGGATGAGGCAGGGGATTGATAGTTGCTGCAAATTTAAGGTCAGCTTGGGTTATAGAGAAGATCTTGTCTCAGATACCGAAAGGACCGGCAAGAGGGCTGGATACTCAGTGTTTGGCAGGCAAAGGTACTTGCTACCATACATGACGACCTGAGTTTGATTCTCAGGACCCGTGGGATAGAAAGAGAACCAACTCCTGCAGGTGTCCTCTGCCCTCCACATGTGTGTGATACAGTCACAAGTGTTCACACACACACACACACACACACACACACACACACACACACACAAATGTAATTTAATGAAGTTTTTAAGGGAGAAAAAGAAAAAACCCAAAAGGCTAAGAAACAGAGTAAGAAAGTCTTAATACAGGCCAGATGTGATCATGCACACAGCTCTAATCCCAGTGTTTGGGAGGCAGAGGCAGGTGAATCTCTGTGATTTGAAGTTCCAGGCCAGATAGGACTGCTCAAGAGTAAATCATCCAAGTAAACATGCCTTTAGAGGGATACTGAGCATTCCAGTGAGTACTTTAGAAGACAGGGTTAAGGTTGAGGCACAGTGGCAATATGTAAGGAATGGTGAGAATTAGGACAGTGCGCTATGAATGGCATTCAGAATTTTTAAAACATTTTTAAGACACCGGACAGTAAGTTAGACTGAGAACAGATTCCAGGTCATTTTAAATGCTGTCCTACTGAGGTCTCTTTTGCTGAAATAAAGCACCATGAACAAAAGCAATTTGGGAAGTTTATTTCAGTCTGTCACTGAGGAAAGTCGGGGCAGGAACCTGGAGCAGAAGCCATAGAGGAGTGTTGCTTACTGGCTTGCTCCATGGTTTGCTCTGCCTGCCTTATAGCATTATAGCATCAGGACTAGCAGCCCAGGGATGGCACAGCCCACAGCCAACTGGGCCCTCCAACATCAGTCATCAAGAAAATGCCCCATAGGCTTGTCCACAGGCCGGTCTGGTGGAGACAGTTTTTCAGTTGAAGTGTCCACTTTCCAAGTGACCCTAGCTTGTGTCAAGGTAATATAAAACTAGCCAGCATAAATGGGCTTCACTTGTGGAGTTTGGTAAATTTAATAAGGCATGATTATATATGAGGTTCTGTTTTAAGTAGCATGCATATATTAACTCACGGCATGAATAGATCTGTTTTAAAACAAATGTTCTTGCCCATAGACAGACTACAGTGGGGAAATCTGCACCAGGAGATCCTCTGGGAGAATGCTGGAAGTATGTGCTGAGTGCTCATGGTGTGGTTTGGAGTTTAGTTGTGGAAATGGATAAGGAAAGCTAAAAACAGGATTTTTTTTTTTTTTTTTTTTTTTTTGAGGCAGGGTTTCTCTGTATAGTTTTGGTGCCTGTGCTGGATCTGCTCTGTAGAGCAGGCTGTCCTGGAACTCACAGAGATCCGCCTGGCTCTGCCTCCCGAGTGCTGGGATTAAAGGCGTGTGCCACCACCGCCCAGCTAGGAATTTTTTTTTTTTCAAGATTTATTTATTATGTATGCAGTGTTCTGCCTGCAGGCCAGTAGAGGGCGCCAGATCTCATTACAGATGATTGGGAGCCACCATGTGGTTGCTGGGAATTGAACTCAGGACCTTTGGAAGAACAGCCAGTGCTCTTAACTGCTGAGCCATCTCTCCAGCCTGGAAATTTTTTTAGATACAATTAATAGAGGTTTTAGAACTAAGAAGTCTTTGCCATGTGTCTAAGGCATGTTGTAAATTGCCAAATTAGGAATGAGAAAAGAAAGAAGGGCTAGCTTAGTTCCATGGCACAATGCTTGCCCAGCATGCATGAGGCCTTAGGTTCAGTCCCCGGTACTGCCAGTAAAACCCCAATGCAGCACCAGAACTAGGAGGAGGATGCTGACCATGGGAGATTATATCTGAAGATCCTTGAAAGGTGTGACTGGTCGTTAGAAATGCAGGTCAGAAGATAAGAGCAAAGTGTTCCAGATCAAGGTGTGAGTAGGCCTGAGACAAGCGTAATACTAGCTAGGGCAGGAAGAGGACATGGTAGGAAGGGTGAGGTATTGAATAAGGCCACAGGGTAGTCGTCAGTGATGGGAATCCAGACCCTGCAGACTAGACAGCAGCCATGAAGCCACCTCAGCTGGGGTGATGGAACTAGCAGAGCTCTGGTGACCAGATGGTGCAGTCAGAGGGAGGTGCCCACTGCATCTGGAGCAGAGTGTAACTGTCAAGGACAGGAGCGTCCAAAAGGATTTCTCCTCCCCTTTTCCTTCTCCAGCAGGGTCTTGCTGTGCACTCCAGGCTGGCCTTGGACTTTCTGCTGCAGCCTCCCAAGAACTGAGATTATAGATAGACATAGGCCACCATACCCAGAGTAGTCTGTGAAGCAGTCTGCTGTGCAGTGAGGCGGCCCTGCAGCCTGCCTACCCCTTACCCTGTCTTTTGTGTTACTGTTGTTGTTTTTGTTTTGAGGAGGCTCTCACTATTTAGCTCTGGCTATCCTGGAACTCCTCACTGTGAAGACCATGCTGACCTCAAACTCAGAGATCCACCTGCCTCTGCCTCAAGAGTGCAGGGATTAAAGATGTGGGCCATGTGCCCTGGTTTTTGCCCTTCTTCTGAAGGAAGGCAGAAACAGGCAGCCTGGGTTCCTGGATTTTGTTAGCCTTTGTTAGCCTTTTGAAAGATGCTCTAGGCCTGTTGAGGTTGTGCATACACGGAATGGACTTAGGAGCGAACCGATGCTGTGGGCTTGTCAGGATTGTTAATTTATGGAGGAGGGCTTATTCCCCTGTGGCTGGTACCATAACCAGGTAGGGTAGTCCTGGGCTGTATAAGAAGCTAGCTGAGGAGAGGGCAGAGAGCTAGCCAGTAGGCAACATTCCTCCAAGACTTCTGCTTCAGTTTCTACTCCTGTTCCAGCTCTGATTTCCCTCAGTGCTGGAGTGTGACCTAGAAGCATAAACAAAATAAGCCCTCCGCTCCCCACAGGTTCCTTTTGGTCATGATGCGTAACACAGCAACAGAATGCAAACCAGGGTATTTCTCTCATCATTATGGACTTAAGCAGAGCTGGCTACAAACCGTAGCTGGGCCATAATCCTCAAAAGCCTGCCGCTAGTGACCTTCTGCCAGCCAGCCCCTACCCCTTAAAGCTTCGACAGCCTCACAGTATGGTACCAGCAGCTGGGGAACAAACACTCAACACACAGAGCCGTGGTGTTGGTTCAGAGTCAGACCAGAACACCGGCAGACATTTATAAGTAGTAGTTAGACTGTGTGTATGTGCTCATACGTGTACCTGGGTATGTGTGCGTATGCGTGTACGTGTGCATGTGCGTGTGTGTGTGTGTGTGTGTGTGTGTGTGTGTGTGTGTGTGCATGTGTGTATTGCTAAGGATCCATGGAGCCTAAGACTTGTACATGCTAAGCAGTCTCTGAAATGAGTTACACTCCTTATATTTCCCTCCTGAGGGGCTAGCTCCTTGTAAACATCAGTAAGCTTTTTTCCAGGTCATCTAACTACTGGCTTTTGTGATTTGCACTCCCCTCCCAGAGCATCTGGACCTTCTTCACTGAGAATAATATTTCCAATAATGCACTGGTGGCGTTATTCTGTCACTTTGTCCAGGAAGCACATAAAAAAGGTGCCAGTGCGCAGCATCGAGAATATGGCCTTCATGCTGCTGGGCTCTATTTTTTGCTACTGGAAATACCAGGTATGTCTACATCTGGCCCTCCATGTTTATAGGTTCCACATCTGTATGCAGCCAACTGGATGGGGAAAATACTTGAAAAGAAAATGTTACATTGTTGATACTGTGTATGTTCTTAAGTCTATGATGTCTATATGGAACATGCACAAACTTTCCTCTTAGTTCCTAACCCATACAGCAGAACAATTATTATATAGTTTTTACCCTGTGTTGGATATCTAGAGATAATTTGAAATATACAGGAAGATGTGTATAATTATATGTAAATAGCCATCTTCAAAGAGAAACAAAAGTTCATGATTATTCAAATTTTTATACAAGGGTTAAAGTCCCTTGTTTTAGTGTCCTCAGATCTGGGAGTATGACTTTTTTTTATTACTTTTCAAGATATCTTTATTTTTTTTTTTATGTTCCTTGTGTACTTATCTCCCACTGCCCTCCCTAGTTAGAGCCTCCTCCTTTTTCCCATTTCCCTGATCAGATCACTGTGTCCTGCTCATCCCCTCTCTGTCTCTCCTACTCCCCTACCCTGACAGTGGTCTTTTTTTATTTTCTGGTTTCTGTGGTTACTCCAGGCTCTGTATTCACATCTGAAGATTTGGAAGTAGGAGCCTCTGATAAGAGAGAACATGTAGCATTTGTTTTTTGGGGTCTGGCTTATCACTCAATATGATCTTTTCTAGTTTACCTGCAAATGTCATGATTTCATCTTTCTTTACAGCTGAATATATTCCATGTGTAGATAGACCACATTTTCATTATCCATCCGTCAGTTGAAGAGCATTTGTTTAGGCTGTTTCCATTTCCTAGTTATGATGACGAGAGCAGCAATGAGCGTGGCTATGCAGATAGCTGGAGTATGGTGTCGAGTCCTTGGCATCTGCTAGGAAGTGGTACAGCTGGGTCAGGTGGCATCTTTATTTTGAGCTGGTTGACAGTTCTGCATACTGATTGCCATAGTGGCTCTACCAGTTCACAATTCAGGGTTCCCTTTTGCCTGCATACTCTCTAGCTTTTGTTTTTGGTAGTGGTGGTGAGCTTTGCCATCCTGACTGAGGTGAGATGAAATCTCAGAGTTGTTTGGTTTGCATTTCTCTAATTGCTGGGGACTGTGGACATTTTTTGAGATAGTTCTTAGCCATTTTTTTCTTCTCCTGAGAGTTCTCTGTTCAGGTCCCTGTCCCATTTTTTGAAGTGGTTGCTTTTTTTTTTTTTGCTTTTGATTCTTTGTGTTTTGAGTTCTTTCTATAAAGTCCCACTTGTCAGTTATTGGCTCATTTCTTGGGCAAATGGAGTCCTGTTCTGGAAGTCGTTTCCGATACCTGCATCATGTAGGCTGATGCCTGATGTTTTCTTCTAGCAATTCCAGGGTTTGTGTGCGCATGTTTGTGACAGCTGTGTAGACATGTGTATGAAGCCTGAAGTTAATTTCTTATTACTTCCTTGATAGATCCCCACTCTATTAAGACAGGGTATCTCTGGCCCCAGAGCTCATGGTTGCTCATCAGTTTTTGTCAGTCCAGCTAGCTAACAGATTGTCCTAGGGATACCCTGTCTGCTTGAGTGGGGAATTATAGGCAGGCCATTATGCCTGCACAGCTTTTGTGTAGATTCTGGGGATCTGAACTCTGGTCCTTAACACAGCACATATTTTCAAACTAGGCCATCTCTCCTACCTAATATACATATTTTGAGACAACTAAACCTAACTTGCCTAAGCTGATGGAGTTGCATGCCTATGATCCCAGCGCTCCAAAGGATGAGGAGATATGAGTTTCAAGTTAGCAAGGCTTTGTTTAAAAAAAAAAAAATCTAACCTGCACATTCTCTATTTCTTGTGACTAGGTAGCGTAATCAATCAGGTATTCCACCCAGTGATGTTTGACAAGTGTATTCAGATTCTGAAGAAGAGCTGGCCTCAGGAATCTAACTTGAGTCAAAAAAGAAAAAAGGAACACCCCAGAAGTTCTAAGAATAATCATAGGAGGGGCAGAAAAAGAGGAAAACCACCTAGGAAAGAGGATGATCAGGTAAGGAGACATTTCCAAGCTGGGCTTGGTGGTGACACACTAGCTTTGTTTACATGGTGAGTGCAGGACTGCCAGGACTGCATACAGACTGTAAACGCCCCCACATGGAGAAGTTACAGGGACTGTAGTATGCAGTCTAGTGCAGATCACTCTGGCCTTGGAAACCTAGAACAGCATAGGGACCTGGGCAAAGTTAGATCATCTTATGAGCCCAGTGACGGACGACTGGCATTGACTTCATGTGGGCAAATGAAACCATGGGACAAGCATGTGAGACATCACAGGCACTTGTACATTTTCTATGATCCAGGTGGATGAATTTTCAGGAGAGGAAGAAGAGGAGGAAGAGGAGATTTATTTTTCTGCCTGGGACCTCTCTCATATACGAAATGCCATATTTAATCTTCTAAGGAATTTTTTAAGGCTTCTGCCCAAGTTTTCCCTTAAAGAAAAGCCACAGTCTATACAAACTTGTATAGAGGTAAGTGAAACCCCCAAGACTTGGGGCTAACTGCAAAGAAATGTAGTTATAGCTAGTATTTACTGAATAGAAGAAACTCATTTTTCTTTGGTACTTGTCTTCCAGGTGTTTGTTGCATTAACTAATTTTGAGCCAATTCCTCATAAATTTCTTGTTTCACAAGCCAGGTAAGCCCTTAGTCTTGCAACATGACGATGTAATGATTTTTTTCAGATCTGAAGTGCTGCTTTAACTAGTATGTTAGCAGGATTTAGTTATTTAAATTTGGCTTATGGAAAATGCTGATGTGGCACACATGTGTGCTAGCTGCTTAGGAGGAAGAGGCCCTTCAGTAGTTTGAGTGAAGAAGTTCAGGGGCAGCCTGGGTAACACACACACACGGATACTGCATCCAAAAATAAAATAAATGAATGAACAGAGAAGGCTTAACAGGCGGGTGAATATTCCTACTATAATCAAATCCATTAGCCAAGTTTTTTCCTTTTTCTTTAGGAACTTTAGTGGAGTAAAACACATATCAGAGCTGGCCTATTATGGATTGTATTTGCTGTGCTCCCCAATCCATGGAGAAGGAAATAAGGTAGGGGAGAAGTGTATTCTAATTTCCTAATTGAATCGGAAGTGGACAAACCACATATGCAAAGATGTTTGATACTCCATATGTCTTTGGTTAGCTGAAATTATGTCTGGCTAAAAGAAGTGAATACTGGTCATATTTTTAGGGAGCGGACACATATCTTTTGTTATGTTGTATTATTATAATTGCTTTACTTTTGAAATCTCATTCATCTCATTGTTCATCTATATTGTGGTTAATTGAGCCAGCAGCTTATCCTGGGGCTCCCTTGTGTCCACCTGACTGCTAGCATTACAGGCAAACTGCATGCCTGCCCAGCTTTAATGTGGGCTTATAAATTAAGTTGTACTATAGTTACTTCTGTATAGGAAAACTGGTACAGGATTGGTACTGGGCACGCTTTTAGACATCACTGGGGAAGTGTCTTGGCAGTATGCTCTGTGGCTAATGGGCAACTGGCTGTGATACCTTTTGACTTACTATATCGTTTCAGGACTTGATATTCTTTTGGTAATAAAATGTCACTATTTCTGCTTGCTGTCTAGCCTTCCTTACCCAGTACTCAATATATTTGGTGGCCCCATAAATTATTACTAAATTTCCAAGATGAAACAGATGTTTTTTTTGTATGACGGCCCTAGTTTTCAGCAGCAAAATCTTTGATGCCACTGGATTCTCTATCATACTTTAAGCCAAACATTATTTTCTCTTCTAGGTTATTGGCTCTATTTTCCACCAAATGCTAAATGTAATATTGATGTTAGAAGTAGGGGAAAGGTCCCGTTGTGCCCCGCTTGCGATAACCTCACAAGCCATCAACTGCAGAAACCAGGCAGTCCAGTTTATCAGGTAAAGCGCATGCATCTCGACTTCCAGTTTGTATCACTCTTCCTTGATAGTCTGGGCCCTGCGCTAACCAAAGTATCTGGCACTTGTGGCATCGGATGTCAGACCCACCGTAGCCATTCTGTTCCGTGTGTCTGAGTCACAGTTGGCAGCTTCTGTGTCGGGGTGGTGTTAAGGACATAGTGAACCTGTAGTTCTTGAGCCGGAGTCCATCAGTTGTGCCGTCAGCAGAGGACGGCTTCCCCCTTTCTGTCGGAACAGAAAGTCTGCCCCCTCTTCCACTTTTTCTCTCTACTTAAACGTTTCTCTGTTTCTTGCACATTTTCCTTTGTTCTCACTTTTCTATTCCATCCTCGACAACAGAAAGTACCTGCTAAAGGGTGACAGTAAGTGCTTTGAATTTCTTAAAATAGTTGGTAGTCTGCGGTTTCTGCCATGAATTGCTTGGCTTCTCTTAAAAGTCCCCTCCTGAAGCCGGGCAGTGGTGGCGCACGCCTTTA